CGCACGAATGGTAATGGACGCGAGGCTGCACGGCTGTATCAGATTACGTTTCAAGACCGAATGCAGTTTAGTCATCCAAGATTTTCTGCTTTTATTGTCGCGTGGCTGAGACAGGATCCTTGGCACCACAAACTATGGATAGAAGAAAGCCGTGATCCGTTCGTACATCTGACCACGAAGAACACATTTTATAGGACATCGATGGTGGTCCAGATATCTGCATACGTCAAGTGGCCCTAGCATGTTGTACATCTCATAGTACTGCATGGAGGGTGATCCTAGAACAGCTCCTGTATCTGGATCATTTGCAACGTGTAAATCTTTCGCCCTCTGATCACTCACAGCGAGAGAACTATTGTGGCCCTCTTTTTAATTGTCATAGAAATCTACGCCCCATTTTCGATGGTAACATGCTTTCTGTGTATGCATATCATATTGTGCATGCGCAGTTATTGCTGATAGCCATTTACACAGCAACACGATCTCTCCCACCCTAGAACAGTGCCTCCTAATAAACGTTAAATTGCAGATGAGTTCTGTGCATTTAATGAAGAATGTATAGACAAGTATTTCTTTTCTAGTTATAAGAATAAAGCTATGTGTTTACTGCGCCAGTGGGGGGTGTTGCTGTGTAAAGGAGTACAATTTGAAGGGGTACCACCACACAAAACTCGGGGATTTTGGTTGAAACATGACAAATGAGGAACAGAAGTAAAAGACTACGGAATATGTTGCAAAATTAAACAAGCAAAAAAAACTATGTTTAAGAACAAGTAATCAATTCACGGTACTCTGTTGGTATGGTGACATACCGAATTTCAAGACGTAACAAACCATTCTCAGATGGCGAGTTAATAAAACAATGCATGATGGATTGAACAGATTTTGTATGCCTGGAAATGAAAGGCAAATTGAAAGACATTTCATTATCAAAGAGGACTGTCGTCTATCTATCTATCTATCTATCTATCTATCTATCTATCTATCTATCTATCTATCTATCTATCCCATAATCTATCTATCTATCTATCTATCTATCTATGTCAGTCTCTACTAATCTATCTTTTTGTTCTTCTATCTGTCTATTTCTGTCAGGTTTTTTTTTCTATCTATATGCCTCAGTCTTTACTAATCTATCTATCTATCTATCTATCTATCTATCTATCTATTTTAGTCAGGTTCTATCTATCTATCTATCTATCTAGTTATGTATGTTCAGTTTGAACATGCATTAAATGTCACTGTCTTACGCTCTTCATATCTACCTCTCACTTCTTCCTCTCTGTCTACCTCTCCCTCAATTTCGCTCTCTCTCTCTTTCTCTCTGTCTCCTTCCCTCTCTCTCTCTCAGAAACTGACACATTCACGACAGAGAAATAATCTGTGAAGCTTTGACTAATCAATTGAGGGATGCCGGTAAAGATCTTGCATGTTATTTGTTAGAATTAGCTGAGAGTATCGACATCCAAGATATTGCACAGTTACTAATTTTCGTTCTTGGAGTGGAGAATTTCGGTATTACCGAAGAATTGCTGTCAGTAGAACCAAACGAAAAATATAACAACTAAGAAGTTAAAAAGTTTTGCAGCCAGATTATTCGCTATTTTTGGTTCCACTTACATCTGAGAGCAGAGTTTTTCCTACATGAAGATGAATAAGAACATGTCCATGGTGTCAGACACAAACTTAAATGCAGTGCCGTGAGTTACTACCAAAAATCTTGAGCTAAACATTAAACCAAGCATGGTCAACCTGTGGCGCATGCGCCATAAGTGGTGCATTGGATGCTTACAAGTGGCGCATTGCATCCTTTTGATGAAAAGAAACTAAGCCACTTTTACTCATTCATTTCAGTGATTTTATATTTATTGCACGTCTTTTGCGAAAGTGCTAAAAGTTTGATTTGTATTTGTCTCATTTCTTTTTGTTAAAAATGCTGACATGGTCCTTTTGCTTGACTGAGTGCTTAACTAACTGGTAGACAGGATTGTGTTCTAAAATGTTTGTCTTTCTTTATCACTGCATTGGAGAGAGCGTTTGTGTCTGGATTTCATTAAATTAAGGTAAGAATAATTTCATGATTTACATTTCGCTGAATCGTAGCTTCAATATTATGAGTGCCTATACTAATTAGAGTCCGGATTATACCAGCTTTGTAATGTTGAGAGATTTATGACTGACATTATGATTAGGCCTTCGTGTAAATTGTGTATAATATATATATATTGCTGGTTTATTGGTCCGGTAAAACGTGCAGTGATAACAGCAAAAATTGCAATATGAGCACTGGTAAAAATGGTTGCTGAAGACATTAGGTTTATAATACCCAGAAATTCATATTCAGATGTCCTCAAGAACACATGGCACAGTGGATAAAGGCGTTGGTTAGATCCAGTGACAGGACACAAAGAGTGTGAGTTCAAAATGGTGAGTTAAGGCAGTGGAGAACTTGAACAGAATATAACTGACATCCATTAGACATGGAACGTAGAATTAATACAGTCCAGTGAAAGAAAGCCACAGCATATAACGGCCGTGATAAATATGGCGACAAAGATGAGGAGAATAGTCCGAATAATGTAAATAGTGAACTAATCTATATATGTAAAAGGACAATATGAATATAGCCGTAAGGAAAACATACACTATAATTTGCCTACGCTATTCAGTTAAGCTGATGATTTTTTTATGGGCATCTGTAAAATATACAAATTTTGAAAAGCTAATTATATTTTCCGTTGTTTATAAATAAATGTTGCAAAATAAAATCTTTACATTTGCCCTGATAAAATCCAACATAAAATAAAGTTATCATTTATTTAATCCGTCACTATCTCTAACGATATATAAAATGGGTACACGTGTTTGAGGAGCCATTATTATTATTATTATTATTATTATTATTATTATTATTATTATATTCTTCTTCTTTACCTGCACATCCTAGATATTTACGACACCGTGTTTATTGCATAATGAAAATGAGTTGTCCTTTCAAGGAATCAGTCGGCAACACAATACATTATTTTGCAGCGTCCTTATCTATCTATCTATCTATCTATCTATCTATCTATTTGTGTCTTTACATAACTCTCTACCTAATATCTGTCTTTGTATTCACATATGTCTGTCTACCTATGCTAATGATTAAATTATCTATCTTATCCTTTACATAGTGATTTAGATTTACAGTGTATTTAGACACACAAAAAGATACATATATAATTATATTGTTCAAAATGCAATATTAATGTCGCGAACGTTGCTTAATATCACTTATAGCTCTTTTGTATATATAAACAGTATGGACATAGAGATCAACACAGCATGGGTGTTCAGTTTAGCAAATGATGGCTTGATGACTGTTAATGATGTAAAAATTGAATGTGTAGATATATTGCTGTGCTTTTTATGTTGGTTTGAGATATACGATTTAATTGAATTATTATCCAAGAAATACCACTTAATCCAAGCGATAATGTAGTGGTTTTGCAACCAATGAATGTGTTGTTTTAATTATTACCATCGGAGAGCAATTCTCCCAATAAACAACTTTGGTTTATTGACATTTTTTTTTTGTTGTATCGTTGGTGATGATAATTTTGAAAGTTTTTAGAATATGTAACATATTATGATGTTAATTTGCTCGATATGCTTGCTAGATGGTAACTATGCCCGTAATTTTGAATTTTTACACCTAGTTACTGTGTAGTTCTTTGGTGCAGAGTAGCTCGTTTTTTTAAGTTATTTGATCGACGCCACCTCTTTGTCGACGATGGACCTCACAAGATATCACTGCAATGTTTGTTTGTGCTTTGAAACATATGTCACAATGTAGGCAGACTCCAAACACGTACATTTCATGATTATTAAGTTTATTTGTGTGTATGTGTGCGTGCCTCTTCAAACTACAAGCTGATTTGGCAGTTTTTCCACGAATATAGCGTGAATTCTCAGTACTTTATACTATTTTTGTAAGTTCTTTGGGAGGTAAACTTCGCATTTTCTTGCTTTATAGAGCAAAGCGCCCCAGAAACATTAGGAAGCCTATTGGCCATATGGAAGTTCTATATTAAGATCTTTTCCAACACTTCATTTCCGCCACCTCCTCACCAAAATCTTTCTTCCTCCAGTTCTTACAGTCACTTTCATGGACCTCCTAGTGACAATCACTCACACCTATATGATAGAATATAAGATAATTTTAAGATATGCTATAACTATGGGTTAAAGTGCACAAAATCTAGGATAGATCTCATGTAAATCACAGACCTTTAAATATAAATAGTCCCGATAATACACAACGCGCATCTGACCTGACAGTTGCGTTTAGCATGCAAACGTCATACCAACTGTACAAACGGGCCTCAGTGACGAAGAGTTTAAGAATTAGACTCGATAAAGCCCCGCTCTTCACAAATTCCATGGTGTAACTCATCCGAGTTTCCCTTACTCATAGGACTGTGCTTGCATGAGCCACAACTTCTATTCCCAAGCGCTCCATCCAGAGCATTAGAAGCAGGTTCAAGCAAGGGTATACAAGTTATATAAAGTATTAGGTTCGTACATTTAGTATGACGCTCGTGTCGTCTCGTAATGGTCCAGGTTCAATTCTCGGCAGTGGATGAGCTCTGATGATGAATCCCAAATATACAACGAAACTGCTGTTCAGTGCTTTCTGCATTCTTTTGAGGTTTCTTCTAGACTCGATCAATAACTTAATTATGATATATATATATATATATATATATATATATGTGTGTGTGTGTGTGTGTGTGTGTGTGTGTGTGTGTGTGTAAATTTCTGTGTACGTATAGGCATTTAATTTTATTAATGCTATTAAATTGTCATTTGACAATTACGAATGAATCTGAAAAACTTTATAAATGTGTGTATTTATTTCTGAGTGTGTGTGCCTTTCTGAATGCATACTTACATCTGTTTGAACATTTCGGTGTAAAATAAGGTTAAATATAAAGTGAATATAGAGAATGCAAGGATCAGAAAGAATATGACTGGCGATGGGATGGGAAAATTAACGAGGTAATGAAAAAAAATAATGAAGAATATAAAATCCCCCAAATTGAAAGGAACGTGTATTTTGAGTTATAGCAAGGACATAAATTTATATAGAGACGATGAAGGAGGCGGGGGTGCGTGTTTACATGGGAAAGAGAGAAAAAGAGAGACGGAGATAACGATACAGAAATATTATCGCTGGGGAAAAAAGAGGAACGAAAGACTGAAATAGTGAAAATAATGGAAGCAAAAGAAGGAACGAACGAACGAAAGAAAGAAAAATAAACGCATTGAAGAGAGAAAAGAAAAAGGAAGGAAAGAAAAACTAATACACTGAGGTGAGAAGATAAGAAAGAAAGAAAGAAAGAAAGAAAGAAAGAAAGAAAGAAAGAAAGAAAATGGAATACACTGAGAGAAGCGGCCAAGAAAAAAAAAATGGAGAGAAAAATTAAATTCCCTGAGGAGGAAAGAAAGAAAGAAATAGAGAGAAAGTGAAAGAAAGAAAGAAAGAAAGAAAGAACGAAAGAAAGAAAGAGAGAGAGAAAGAAAGAAAGACAGACAGACAGAAAGAAAGACAGACAGAAAGAAAGAAAATCACATGAACTCAGAAAGAAAAATGTAAACAAATGCTCTGAGGTGAGAAGAAAGAAAGAAAGAAAGAAAGAAAGAAAGAAAGAAAGAAAGAAAGAAAATGAAATACACTGAGAGAAGCGGCCAAGAAAAAAAATGGAGAGAAAAATTAAATTCCCTGAGGAGGAAAGAAAGAAAGAAAGAAAGAAATAGAGAGAAAGAGAAAGAAAGAAAGAAAGAACGAAAGAAAGAAAGAGAGAGAGAGAAAGAAAGAAAGACAGACAGACAGAAAGAAAGAAAATCACATGAACTCAGAAAGAAAAATGTAAACAAATGAGGTGAGAAAAAAAAGCTCTGAAAGAAAGAAAGAAAGAAAGAAAGAAAGAAAGAAAGAAAGAAAGAAAGAAAGAAAGAAAGAAAGGTAAAAAACGTACCGAGCACAGAAAAAAGTAAGAAAGAAAGATCAAATGTACTTAAGAGATTAAAGAAAGAAGGTAAAATGTAAAAGTGTAGAGAAAATACAAAAGAGAAAAAATAGAAAGTTTGGAAAGAGAAACTGAATAGAAATGTAAATAAATTGAAGCAAATCTTAAAGAAAGAAAAGTTTAAACACGAAAGAAGAGGGAAATAAAAAAAAAGATACAAACAGGAACTGTTGAGGAGATGAAAAAGAAACTGCCTTGACCGGGTATTGAACTAACACTCTTTTGGGTCTTGGCACTGGATCTAACCAACGCCTTTACCCACTGTGCCATGTGTCCTTGAGGACCCAAGGATTGTGAGTTCAATACCCGGTTAAAGCAGTGGAGAACTTTCAGAGGGAAATTAACAGGAGATAACTGATATCTGACATCCATTATACATGGCACGTAGAACTAGAACAGTCTACCCCAGTGAGCGAAATAAAGGGTTACGTTCGACATTCCAACCACCTGAAGAAAGCCGGAGCGTACAACGGCCGAAACTTTGTAATAAATATGGCGAGAAAGATGAGGACAATAGTCCGAATAATGTAAATAATGTACATAATACCTAAATTTGTTGTTTAATGCATATATTTGTTGACATATATACATCGGTTTGTTTGTTTTCTTTACATCTTCGGTTGGACTGGTCTTGAGTCTGCTATGTTCTTGTAGTGGGACCTTCTATCAAGAATAAACAGCACATGTTCTTAATTTAACAACACGTAAACCCACACGGTCCTTTACAGTGCCGTCAAAATGAATGAAAGAAAAGGAGGAATGACAAATTAACGAAAGACGAGAAAGCAATAAACTGTAGGAGAAAGCGACGAATCACTAATTATTCCTTTTTGGTTTTCGTTTTCTTTTATCTTTGAAACAATCATCGTGATTAAGTGCAATTAATTTAGATATTTCAAGACGGAAAACAAAACTGCAGAAGCTTAACTAGGAGAGGCAGAATTCTTGGGAGAGAATAAGTGACAGAATGTCTGAAGGAGAAAGAGAAAGTGTTTATAGCCAAGAAATACAGAGAAATCAGATAAAAGAAAGGTGAAAAAGATAAAAAAAAATGATTAGATGATAGTGACAAATGGCGGTTACCGAAATGTGTATACTGAATAATTAAGGATAAATAAACGCCGAGTTTACATCACTCTGTAAACCTTTCTTTCTTTTCATCTTTTTTTTCATTCTTTTAAATCCTTTCTCTACCCGTTTCTTTTCCTTCCATTCTTTTCTATGGTTTTCCTGATAATTTCTTTTCTTGGCTTAAGTCAGTATTCTTTCTAACAGTAGAAGAACAGCTTGCTCATGCGCATGCGTAAATGTGCGTGTATTCATGTTTAAGGCAAAGTAACATGGCAGGGGCCCATTGTGTGCGTGTGACCGAACCAAAAGACTGAAAAGAACAACAGCCTATACATTTTTTCAAATTATACGAGCGTAAATGTAAAAACGTATATCATTCAGTGTATAAGGATGACCAATGGGACAAAAATATTCTATATGACAATTCGTGTTTATCTTGAAATGTTTCTATGTTTATTTTGTTCAGAAAACCAAAAAGTAAATAAGAATAAAAATAAAATGATAGCGAGAGGGTTAGAAAAAATATGTGAAATACACATCTGAGAAACAGGGTTGGTTCATGAATTTGGTAACAGTAGTTGTGAGTTCAATCTCAGTGTCGGGCAAGCGATAACGGAAAAGTACGAAAATATGATCTAAACTAGCTGTCACCAACATTTTGAACTTCAAGGACCACTAAATGTATAATTTTAAATTTGGTGGATCACTATTATTAATTTATTAAAAAAAAAGGTAAATACATTTATATAAAAATAATAATAGGAAAAAATTCTATTGTATTAATATGAAAGGTAACAAAGTTATAGGGTAATTTTAAAAAAAAAAATTGAAAATTTGTAGTTTATTCAAGTATTACATATTTTTCGTGTGATATTTGTTCCTGTTTGTTTGAAATCAGCTTGTGGATTTTGGGCTCCAATGACGTCATTGCAAGAGGGAGAGTTGGATTTATTTCAAGCCGAGACAAGTACAGAGTTATAATTGCTGTGACAGATGAAAATGGCTTTCGCACAAATATGATTTTTAAAAATTTTTTTAAAAACTAGTTTTCGAGTACGAATGATTATGAATTTGTATCTGGTGGGCAAGCCGATTCTTGAAGATTCCGTTGCTAAGCCATGTTTGTAGAAAATTAGAACAGTAAACCATACAGTAACTATCAAGTCATCCCATAAGTTCTGTCCGAATTTTGAATAAAGAAAACAAGTAACCAAATGTTACATTTAATTACAGATTGAATCAACAATGTATTTTTCCTGATTATCTATGACTTCCTTCCATCTATTAACAAGCTTACTAATTCCATTACTGTAAAACTCTTTTGGCTTTGATTCGACGAACTCACAAATGTCAATTTTAACCTCTACCTGTGTTACAAAAGCTGTTTCTTCCAAATGTTTCTCTAAGCTACGAAACAAATGGTAGTCTGAAGGAGCAAGATCGGGAGAATAAGGTGGATGAGAAATTTTCTCCCAACCAGGTTCTTCGATCATTTGTGACGTGATTCTTGCTGTGTGGGGTCGCGCATTGTCCTGATGAAACATCACCTCTTTTCGATTCACTAGAGCAGGTCTTTTTTCCTCAAAGCTTGGTTTAAACGCTCTAATTGCTGACAGTATATTTGAGCATTAATTGTTGCATTAGGTGGTGAGAATTCAAAGTGGATTATTCCTTGGCGATCCCACCAGATTGAAAGAACCTTTTGCCCATGAAGTTCCCTTCTTGGCTGTGGATGGGGTCCTTCCCCTTTACCAAGCCACTGTCTACGATTCTTAACATTTTGATAAAAGATCCATTTTTCGTCGCCAGTCAAAAGTCTATCCAAAAAAGGTGAAACAAGTTGGCGAGAATGGAGAGAAGAGCAAATGTCAACTCTAGATTTGAGGTTGTTTTCAGACAATTGATGAGGCACCCATTTTCCAAGTTTAGTAACTTTTCCAAGTTGTTGAAGATGACGATGAACAGTTGTATGGTTTGAACTTAGAACCACTGCCAATTCCTCAACTGACAAAGCAGGATTTTCTTCAAGGGGTGCTTCAAGAAGTTTTTCATCAAACTCAACTGGACGTTCGGTTCGATCTTCTTCTTCAAGGGTGAAATCTCCACCTCTGAATTTTGCAAACCATCTTCTGCAAGTTCTTTCATTCACACATTCCTCTCCATAAACTGTGTGAATGTTTCTTGCCGCTTCGGCTGCTGAGTTTCCTTTCTTGAACTCATAAATTATTATGTGCCTCAAATGATTCTTGGGTACTTCCAAGTTAGCAGGGTTTTAATCAAACAAAATTTAATTTTATTGTTCTCTGAAATAAAATTTGATCAGTTTAAATGCATCTAAACATAAAAATAATGTTCAGCTCCATTTGACATTATTAAACACTCTTTAAATTTCGTTCAATTTAAAAAAAAATAAAATCCGGACAGAACTTATGGGATGACCTGATAGTTGTCAACAGTAATGGTTAGAAACTATTCAGTAACAAATATTGAACATGGCTTTGCAAGTCATGACTAGATGATGTTACATGTGTGTACGTGTGTACTCGTGTTTATTTTGAGCTTGTATAATGTCTTAAACATATATACCATCCATAATACGCTGTGTTGCTCGTCATTTTTTAATCTCAAGCTTCATAAAATTTGAAATACGGTCCCAATTTTTCTGCGGACCATCAAACATTTTGCAAAGCCCGCCACACCCACATCCACACACACACACACACACACACACACACACACATATATATATATATATATATATATATATAGGATTAATTTATACGGAATAAATTCCAATAACTAACAAATGCTATTCTTAAAAAGTGCTCAATATAGAGTAGAGCAAATATAATTATTTATTCAAAAATTATAACCTAAAAATGTTAAAAATCACTACAAAATAGTCATTATGTTTCAACACTTCTGGTGTCTTCTCACTTGCCCATGGACAGATATATCTATACTCATCCATAATTATTTGTGTCGGTGAATATTATCTGTATGCACTGATATCCCTTTCTATCATATATTCTCTCCGATTTGTTTATTCAAGTCAACACTCTCACAATTAAATTTTCAGGTTATACATATATATTTACATCTTCTTTGTGCATTTGGTCGCTTACTAATTTTAGTATCAGGCATATTTTACCACCAGGTCTTCTTGGCAAATCTCCTCCCTACCTGGGCAATTTAAAAAGTCTCCCTTTCTTCGGAGCCTGTTCAACACAAGTCGTATGTAATAAGGATAATTCTTCACTAATGTATTTACCAATATGCGCACAAAACGTACTCTTATTTAACTGCTGAAGCTTCCTTCTACGCCTTTCTGCAAAATGTATAAGCTGAATATATACATTTTCCTCTACTGCTCGCCAACTAATGAATAATTTTAATCTTCGTTTAAGACTGAGTTGGAATATATCTGGGGATTTTGGGTAAAGATTTTTGGTTAGTTACGCAAGCGACATTCCGAGAATTAAATTTTCCCCCGTCTTAGACACACAACACACACACACACACACACACACACACACACACACACACACACATATATATATATATATATATATATATATATATATATATTAATGCATGTTTCGTTAAATGATATAGACTAGTTTTGTCTATAGAGTTAAAGTAAGTTCTATTTTATAACAATGGCTTCCAATACTTAATACTTCTTGTTTTCACTCTCGCGTGGTCATATGTGACGTCACGAGCTGCAACCCTATTATCGCATCCGCGTCTCGTATACACGGCTGTCGGTGCTTTGAAATTTTTCATGCCGCAAGGGGGAACTATCATTGTTGTTTCGTTCGCGTGTTGTTTGATATATTGAAATTGTCATCTTTGATAATGGCCTATGTAGGCCGAAAGATTAGATTGGATTTAAACATGTGTCAATATGTTGTTTTCCTTTCGTCTTTCAATAAGCTTATCAGACAATATGAAAGGATCTTGCTTAAAATGAATAGACAAAACTTGTTTTTATTATATAATAAAACATGCATTAACGGAAAATTGCTGCCTATATATATATATATATATATATATATATATATATATATATATATATATATGTATGTGTGTGTGTTTGTGTGTGTGTACTCATATGAATAATAGGTGTACATATATGTATAGGTTAATATATAGCCATGTAAGTATATTGTGAAATTAAATATAGGGAAATAAAAAAAAATGTTTCTAATTCTAAATGTTACGATTTAAACAAATCTCTAATATTTGCTTGTCCCGAGGGCTATATCTATGAAATACGATTATAATTTCTATAGATTTATCTAAAATCTGATCCTGAATAATGGACGTGACGTGAAAATCTGAATTCAGTTATTGAGATAAGTCCATTGAACGCTTATTAATTCATTGAATATTTTTAGGCATTTAAAACAACATGCCTGGTCGCATACACAATTCCGGAAAATCCTTGTTGAAAACACAACTATACTTTAACATGAAAACAATAAGCAAAAACTAAAAATTCTTGAAGCTATATACATAAAACAGTTGAAACCTAACCTGAACAAAATAAACTACGAAATCTCCACAAATATTCTTAAAGGTCTATAACAGATAACTAAAGCCATTGGTTTATACTAACGGCTTCCCATACTTAATACTTCCCGTTTTCCCTCTCACGTGGTCATGTGTGACGTCATAAATTGTGGTGCGATATTCGCATCCAACGTCTTATATGCACGTGTTTATCTTTGCTTGGAAATCATCCATGTAAACAGAAACAGACTATCATGACATTCTTGTCCGTTTATTGCTTAATATATTGTAATGTAATTGTCATCTTTGATAATGACTTATGTAAGCCGAAAGCTTAGATAGGACTAAGAAATATGTATCAATATTGTGATTTTCTTGTCCTCATCTTTGTCGCCATATTTATCACAACGTTTCGGCCGTTGTACGCTCCAGCCTTCTTCAAGTGGTTGGAATGTCGAACTTAACCCTTTATTTCGCTCACTGGGGTAGACTGTTCTAGTTCCACGTTCCATGTTTAATGGATGTCAGTTATCAGTTATCTCCAGTTAATTTCCCTCTGAAAGTTCTCCACTGCCTTAACCGGATATTGAACTCACACTCTTTGGGTCCTGTCACTGGATCTAACTAACGCCTTTATCCACTGTGTCATGTGTCCTTAAGGAGTAAATAGATTCATACTTTTTTCCTGTCTTTTGATCAAGGGCAGAGTTTTATACCTTATTTCTGGTTTAGAATTGCGTTTCCAGTTCCTTCTAAAGTCTACCCCAACTCTCTATATATTTATTTTTTATTCTATGTTTCTATTCACATTTTTCCTTCAATATGATCCGATCGGATCGATTTCCGTCCGGTTTACACGCCTCCCCGTTATTTTGAACCGGAGTAGACATTTATCCCTTGTTTCATGTTTAGGTTTGGGCTTCCGGTTCCTTCTAAAGTGTTCTCATTCTCTTTCACTCGCAGTAGCCCATTGGATTTTAGTGGCATTATCATCTTACTCAGGGTTAACAGACGGAAAAAAATATTAACGTAATAATCTATGTATCTGAATAAAATTATTTTATTATTCACTTTATTCTAAACCTGGACACATTAACACACACACACACACACACACACACAAAATCAACCCCAAAAAACGAAACCTAAAACAAAACATGCGCATGCGCGAAATTAAAAATGGTAAAAATGGCGGCAATTTACCCATCGAACTCTTTATAAGCATACATCAGTCTTACTGCAATGTTTTTCCAATTGATTTTGAATCAAACATAAACTGCTGGAGATTTTTTTATTACTCCCATTAAATATTTACATGACTATATTTTTCCATGTTCATAAATATCAAGTTTTCATTTTATATCGAGAAGTCGGCAGCTGGAGTCTTTGATAGTAGTCTGGCGAACATGAATGCTTCTTAGCATACACGACTATTCAGTTTTGCATATAAAATGCGTGGTTGTGGTATGCAATATCTAAATAAGAAACTATTGTCCAAGAACTTTCAATATAAATCTGCATTTTTGTTAATCATATCATCGCAAGCAAGGCAACAAAACCACTAACACACAGGAGGTTATTGAGTGTGAAAGAATATAAGAGAAACATTATTAATGAACGAGAACAGTAAAAGATCTGAGTATAAGAGTGCAGTGGACTGGTGTACACCTTCTGAGATAAACACGTATGTCTCCTGAAATGAGCACAACAAACATGGCAGACTCGGAATATTTTCCAACAAAAAGTAATTTAAATAAAGAACAAGGACTGATATATATGTACAAAAAAAATGTAATGTATTAACAACAAAAGTGTTACAAGTGACAAAGACAATAATGTGTGTAAGAAATTTATGTGGAAATTATTTGGTCCAAGGTATATGAAGTGAGCGAATGTGAGTACGTACGTACGTGTGTGTGTGTGTGTGTGTGTGTGTGTGTGTGTGTGTGTGTGTGTGTTCATGCGCTTCCCAAAAAAGGAAAGCAATCTTCCTCGAGAGATTTACATTGTTGTCGTATAAGTGGAAAAGTAAGAAGAGAGCGATGAAAAATTATCGCAGATTACTTTTAGTGATGGAGAGCGCCCTCTAGGAAGGTTTTCCGAAATTAGGAGGAAATAACCCAACAAGAGAACACGAAGATGACGATTAACATTGCATTTATATTTTCGAAGATCAAACTTGACTGGGAAGCAAGAAGCCGGAGGAGAGTTCCACAAGCAAGAAGTGCGAGTAAAGAAAATTTTAGCATAAAACTTACGGGTGCATCTCGCTAGTACAACTGTATTTATTGACAATTTTCTAAACAAAATAGACTGCAAAAATGTCCGAAGAGATATATTACGTGCAGCATATATCAATTTTAATAAAAGATAACATGAAAACAATTTTTTTTTTAAAATCATTATAGCTAATGCCATTATTCACTGGAAAAAGTCACTCAGTTATGTGCTTAAGCGATCATGTATCTTTCGATATATGACTGACGAGACAGATTTTTTTTACTGCAGCAGGTTGTCATTTCTTTCTTCGGTGGAACAGTTGCAATCCAAGACTATAGAAGCCAGTCTATTCTGCTATTTACCCATAGCTTTAGAATTAATACATACATTTGAATTCATACGTTTCCCAATGGTATTAGCATGTAAGTTAATGAAATGGATTCGACTGGAATTCGAACCCTGCTCTCGGATTTCTCAATCAGAGCCGCTAACCATTTCTGCACCGTTCCTTCTCACATGAAAAAAGGCTTAACCATAATTCTGAATTAAGGTATGCTGAATTCATTAAAAAAAGAAAGCAAATGGTTGAGTCAAAATTGTATTGAAAGTGAACAAATTTTGGAGTCATCCAGGGTAAATTTGCATTTAGTATCATATGACATATCGCATTTCCTCAGAACGACGTTTATTATTTGAAAAATTAAAAAAGAAACGGAATACGAACAAAAAACAGTAGAAAGATGAGCCGTCTAGCTTATACACTTAGATACATCGGACGGGAAACATTCGAAATATTTAAATTTAAAGCTACGCGTCACTTTGTCTTCATTGGTTGGTGATACCGAATTGTACCTGGCATGTGTTGTATTTCGTCCCCCTTCTGCATATGGAAGATGTCATTAATATTAACATTATTAGTCTGGAGAAGGGATTTCAAAAGACAAAACTTAGTTTTTGTTCCATTTCGTAATATATATATATATTGTTCCATTTCGTAATATATATATATATATATATATATATATATATATATATATATATATATATATATATATATATATTATATATTAATTCATCTCCCCATTATCGATCTATCTTTATCTACACATGCATACTCATGTATATATACTTGAGTGTATGTTTGCTTGTTTTGTGTGTGTGTGCTCATATCAACTTATGCAACGTGGTAATCTATATATATATATATATATATATATATATATATATATATATATA